ATCCAGCCGCACTGAGCAGGAGCATCAGCATTGATGGAATAGAAAGGTTATGTAGCGAGAAGCGTGCGGTGGCTGTCTTGGCACCAGAATCCTCGATACGTCCTGGCTGGCTAAAAATGCTAAATGAAAGGTTGTCCGTTGGCGAGGAGGCAAACAACTCAGATGGGCTTGAACACACATTACGCCCGTCGGGTCGCGTGTAATCCGATCGGGTCGCATGTAATCCGATTTCAAGGTCGCCAGCGTGAGCCACGCGGGAAATAAACAGGTGCAAACTATCGAAGCATTGCATCTCACAGGCGCCGACGCTGTGCTGCAAGTTGATGAAAAAACCAGCCATATACAAGTAGCTAAAACGGCGGTTGTAATTAGTTACCTCGCACCGTTCATGGAAATGTTCCTGCTCTTGAGTCGGCGCTCCTCGGTCGTTAAAAACCGGCGCAAGTGGCGCGACGCGCCACGTCCGTCAAGCCTCGTTACGCAGTCCCGCGAGCCGGCGTGAAGCCGGCCGAGGCGGCGGGAGCGCTCCCCGCTCACGCGTCACGCCGTGCGCGAGGTCGCCTCGCGCGTCACGTCGGCCGCGGTGGGAGCGGGCGGCGGCGCGTGACGGGCGCACGTCGCGCGGCGACGACAGTCGCGGCGCGCGCGCGACACATTCCGCCGATACGGATCGAAGTGGCCGCCTCTCGAGTGGCCATCGCGGCCGGCACGCGGCCGGGCTGATGGGTCCGGCCCATTTCCAGTGTGGTCCTGTCGCCTGGCGCGGCCCCCGCCGGTCGCCCAGATCGGTCCCAAGTTCGCACCGGCTCCGTGAGAGCCCGACCGCCCCGGCGGCGAGACCGTGATTTTTCACGGCGGGTGTCACGGATGTGGCCGATTTTTCACGGCGGGTGTCACGGATGTGGCCGATTTCTGACAGCGCATTGTCTTTGGGAGATCAGAATCGGCAGCACTGCACGGCGTCCCCGAATGGGTCCGGGTGCAGACAGGCTGTGGACTTTGAAACCAGTTGCTCACCTACGTTGCGAGACTGAGTATCCTCTACATATCCATGAGGCAGTAATTGCAAACGCTTCTGCAGCTGCGGCCTTGCATCTACAGATCCCAATGAATGGCAGCTGATGAAGGTCCCGCCGCCTTTCGCGCCTCCTCTAGCCTTCCCACGGGTGGGAGTTTAACGGCGGACCTCGACGGACGCCGGCTGTTCTCCGCGGCCCGCTGGCTCTTGAAGGGCGGCACGCCTGGTCGCACCGGAGCCTTGACCTGCAGCGAGCCGGGGCCGATGAGGGGGAGGGGGGGGGGGGAGCCGGGCACGCTGCGCGCGGCGCTAACTCACCCCGAGCAGCCGTTGGAGCGGTGTCGCGGGCGACCTCTCACCGCTGCTGCTCCTCCCCCTCACCCCGCGACCCGGGGAACTGTACGGACGAGTCGTGCATCGTGTGTGTGAGTCATGACGGTTAGACGCTGGGCGGTTAAAGCAGGCTGTTCATCTGCGCCGAGTGGGGTGCAGGGCACGGCGCCGGTCAGGATGATGGGCACACCCTGCGTAATTTTTGTGCCATATGCACTGCTCCGTGCCTTGGTTTCCTTAGGGATGAGCTTAACACATGATCGGAGACGCTTCGCGTTATACGGATGAGCGCCGTAAAATCTAGCTTCTAAAATTTAAGATGGCTGTTTATGAATTGAGAATTAGGCCGGTGGCTAGTGTACAACAGATTTTCACGGAACAAGACGTGCTTGGCTGCTGTTTAGCTTATTGCACAAGGGTCTTTAACATGTTTATCTCGTGATTTTGCATGCGCCTCGAGTCTGGGGGTAAGGCCTTGCCATCGCGGCATGTAAGCCTGAGCGGGGAATGCGCCCTGTGACGGGCTGGATTTAGTGCTTTGTCAAAGCTGCTTAGCACCAGTCTACTGGCATAAATAGTGGGATTGGTTGGACTTACTGCGATCCCAAAGGGTCGCTTTGTAAGACGTTGCTTTCTCCAGTTCTGCGATTGAGGCATCGTCGCGGAGGTGACGCTAGCAGCCAAGGAGGGGCCTCATTGCGAGTACTTCGAGGTGGCAAGACCCCATTTCTCACCTCTTCCCAGTCACCGCCGAGTTTTTTGAGAACCACTCAGTAGCCCGTCACGCCAGATTTACTGACACTGTAGGAGCCTCCCCCCCCCCCCCCACGTGAGCCCGGCAGCCGCAGTCGTCAGGACAAAGGGCAGGAGCGCTCGCTTCCCACCCGGACTCGTTTACGACGGCGCCAGAGATGACTGACCGACGGCGGGGAGCCGGCCGAAGGCTGGGGGCATTCCGTGACGGCGACGTGCGCTGGCGCATGGCGGCATCCGGTGACTAGTTCCGCCTCCGTAGCCTTCGACGGGAGACGGAGCGGGCAAACAGGGAACCCGACACGGGAGCTATGCAGTTCGGCACGCGCGCCGCCAAAACGCTGCCCCCTCACTACACCGGCTGCCGCTACGACTACTGATTGGAGAAGCCGGCCTAATTGGCCTTCATGGAGGAATAGATCGAGGGATGCCGGTGCGGCCGACGGGCTTGGCTCCGACTGTATTCCGGCCGAGCACTATGTAGCTGACAGACGCCGATAAGATAGTGTAATGAAGTGAAATAGCCATTACGTGCTTCTATCACCAGCAGCGCCGGCGGCTCGGCAAAGACTGCACGCACAGCCACGGCGACCGAATGCACCGTTTCCTGGCGATGCGTGCCGTCGCATATTTGCATCGCACGTCCGTCTGCCTGCCTGACGGCTTCGAACGCGGTGTACAGGCGCATAAATCTGTTTCGCGATTTGGCTGAACATGCGCGTTCAGCACGCACGGGCATTCGTCGGCAAGCGGTGGTGCAGTCGATACATGCGCAGCACATGTCAGCCGGCCAGTTTGCTCTCGACGCGGAACAGTCTGCAGCTCTGAGCGCTGTCCCGTGGGGCGCCTCGGCACACCGGTTCGCCGCATTCCCACGCGCCAGGCATGCCGACACCACAACACGCACGGCTAACGGACCGCGGTCCAAATCACATAGCCGGCCAGGCTTCGGTACTGGAAGGCCCCGAAAATCTGGCCGTCAAAGACCGTGGTGGAACGGGTCCAAGCTGGTGCCCGCACAATTTGCAGGTCCGCTGATGCGATGGTCGCCATTGCTGTGGAATAAGCTGGGTGGTGACTGCGGATGGTCTGAGCATTTCGCAATACACGTAAATCCTCCCTGGAAATTCTTAAAAACCGGGTTGATCCACTTCACACTTATACGTGCTTCCAAACGCCCCGAAGGACACCTACGCTGACCCAAATACACCTTCTCAGAAAGCAATTCCAGTCAGCGCCTTTCAGCCGCTGGTCGCATCACCCCCGGCCCGATTATCCTCCATCGCACACGTAATCCGGCAGGCGAGACTGCAGCTGCCGCCGCTCATTATCACGTGCCAGATGGAGGACGAGTGTATCCCGCGAGTCCACTCCAAGGCCGCGCGCCGAGGGGCCGGCGACAGGCGGCCGACCCCCTGACACACATCAGCACCTGTTGTTTACCCCGGGGACGACCACCTCGCGGCCGCCCCGCGCCCGGCTTCGGGAGCAGCCTTGCAGGCCGCCGCCGGCAGCAGGGACGTCCGGGATTAGCGGTCGCGTCCTCACGCGGCCTTGTCGGATCAATGTAATGGCTCAAGCCGACGTGGCACGTGATGACGGGGGTAGCCAGTAGCAGTCACAGAGCTGTGCGCAGCTGACAGGTGGTGACAACGGTAGGTGTCTGCGCTACCTCTGCGCTTTGCGCTTCGGACAATAGGCACAGGCTGTATCGACTCGATATCCACACAGATAGCCGCACTTAACAGCCGGGTAACGAGCGACAATTGTACACTTAATTTGGACCACTCAGCCGTGCTGTGAGCGGCCGGTTCCCACCGAATTGGTGCGATCGAAGCCTTAATGGGTCTTCGAATTTAAAAAGCGTAAAACGAAAACAAGGCACTTGGTGGTGCCTCTAATGGGATGTCGAATCAGATTGTTCGAAAGTGCGTGAAGGTGAAATCTAAGCCATTTTCGGTGATCGTGTTCTAGAGCATCAGATCAGTACAGTTTGGTATGCACACGGTAGTTTTGGGTTGAATTAAATGCGTCTTCAAGCGATTGAGTTTGATTATCATTTGAGAAAGACTGAAAGCGAGGCCAAAGGCTCAAAAAGTGTAGCTGCGCTGGAAAAATCCCCTGGCAACTGTGGTCCGTTGTTTACGCATATGAGCAGAAGATGGTATTGATAAGCTTGATCATACCAAGCTACCACTCTACGTGAATGGGTTATATCCCGTCCATTCTAGGTCAATGAGAACAGATTGTACGCATGACCTTGCATCTGTCCGTGTTTTTGATCACACTTACTGATGGAGCTCTATAATTTGCTCCCTTCTCTTTACAGCCCATGCCCTAAGACTGAGGTAATCTTCGTTGCTGTTTCGTAATCGCATTCATATCCATACCGCCCTTAGCAGGTGGACCTTGTGACCAGGATCACGTGCTGCGGCCAGTTCTGACACTAAGCATGTTCACATCACCCGCTTTCCGACCACATCCAAGTTTGTTAGAAGGGTGAGTGCCATCGCGCATCATGCTTACACATGTCGTACACGCCACTGCGAGCAGCTTCAGCAGAGCTGCGCGAATCGGAGCGATAATTATGAACGTACAGAACTGATAAAATTATGAATAAAATGCTTAACAGGACATTGCTTTTACAAGAGGTAATAGTAAAGTTCGTGTCTAAGACCCCTTGGCAGTTTTCAAATGCAGGTGAACACGTGCTAAGCTGTTCAAAGGGGGAACAGATAGGGTTACAGGACACATTCTGCACTTAAGCAAAGGCGTCATTCACAACGTCACACATACGCGCAGGCCAAACTTATTAAAGGCAGTTTCTGACAAGCCGCACACAAACATACAAAGACAGCGGGACCCACACTCAGATGGAGGACTTCACGCCACTTGCCTGATACGTTGCCCGCGTTCACAACCACGACTTTCCTCTAAACGGGATGCTCGTTCAACGGGCCCCTCGCGAGTCGCTGCCAGCAGCTCATCGCCATTACCATCGGCAGTCCTCTCAGTGGTCACTCGAGTGCACGCGCTCTCCGTACCGCGGCCGGCCACCACACGCCGGGGCGCCCCGCTCACGCCCGCACGCCGGCGCCGCGCCAGCCCGACTGCCGCTCGTCCACGCGTGCCACCGCGGCCGAGCGCGGCTGGCCGGTTTAAGCAGGCGTGCCCCCGCGCCGGCGGAAGCGCAGCCCACCCGCTGCAGTGTGCGGCCGAGTGATGGCGTATAAAACGCTACCAGCGGCAGGCTGCACCGAGTAATTGGACGAAGCCGCCGGGAGAGGACGCATCCTGCGCAGGCGCTCCTAATGAGCGGGCTCGAGACGCGGGGTCGGTGGCGCCGCCGCCGACCTCAGCCGCCCTCTTCAGGCCATTTGCGGCGAGATTGTGTCGTCCGGCCCCATGAGCCCGGAAGCGCGAGTGCGCGTGAGTTTGGAGCGCTTCTTGGATTGGCTCCGACTTGATTCTTAATGCTGACTAGTGGAACTGTGAAGTCTTGGTAAAATTTGCGCCGTCCTTGTTCCAACCAGTGGAGTAGTGGCTGTTACGACGCAGAACATTCAGTCGGGAGAACATGTCTCTCTGAGATACTGCGCTTCAGTCTATACCATGTTGCGTGTAAGATTGGGAAAAAGAATATCTTTTCTGCCGGGTTGTGTATTTGACCTTTGTATTACTACATGTCTTGCCGGTGATCCGCCCGCCAGACGCTGATAGGCTCTCAGTGTGGGGAACTTGCGATTTGCCAAATCCTGGGCAGGTCAGGTAGTCGCATTGCACATATTCATCCCTTCGGCCACCGCAAGAATTAGGGAGTCACAGACTGTGCCATCCCTCAACATCTTAACCCGAAGCGGGGCTCGCTTCCTGTGCGGACTGCAGGCTGCCGGCTAGAGTTGTGTGCCATGCTGCAGTCTCCGTACACCCGAGGCGCTCTGGCCGAGTCCGTGACGTGACTGTGACGCTGTGTTTCGGCGTAAACGGGCGACTTCACGCTCCCTGTTTTTGTTTGCACACGCCCTGTGCTGTCTCCAGGTTCCCTGGTCCTAGCCTCCCCAGCCCACGTGCTCAGTGGCGTGCGCACAGATTCCCCAGCACTACGCCTCCGCACGTCCACCGCGAACATTCAGTGCGGTGCCATCCCATCCTCCACTGCACGTGTCCATATCCTTAGTACCATGTTTTCCTATCCCAGCGTCGCGTCTCCCCATCTGAAGCACCTCACCTCCCCTTCTCAGCAACATATCTCGCGATTCCATGACCTCGTCTTCTCATCCCAGCGCCGTGTTTCGCCATGCCAAGCACCTCATCTCCCCATTCTCCGTCGTCACGACTCCCCCGTCCCGCTCCCTCATCTGGCGGCGCCGTCGCCGGGTCTCCCCGTCGCCTGCACGCGGCGGTCACGCGTCCTCTCATCATCGGCCGGCCGTGCCCCCGGGCCGCTCGCGCCGCGTGCGCCGTTCCCGTTAGCCGCCGCGTGGGTGGCGCGGCGCTGCCGTCGGCTCGTTTGCGCCGCAGCCGCCGTCGGCAGAGGCCGGCCCTGCCCGGAGGAGGCCGCCGGGGGCGAGCCCGCGGAGGAGGCGTCCCTGGACGCTCCAGGCGACATCCTCCCTGCCTGGTTTTGGCGTCAGCCTGCGGTCGGGGTCAGCAGCCTCTCCTCAGAGGAAAAGACGCGAGGCGCATGGTCTGCCTCTTCTCCGTCCAGATCCCCAGGAGTCTTTGCATCTTCTAAGCTTCTGTTTATGAAACATTAGCAACGTATCTTCCCAATCAACGCCTATTGCTACTGTTAACTGTCACGGGCATTCTTTGGCACAACAACAACTCACTTGGACCCAACATGCAGACGTTATCAACAAAAGCCGATAACGTCCCGGATGCTCCAGCATACCCATGGCTAGCATTAAAGGCATTATCAGCCGGTTGATAGGAGCATAGCCGTCAGTTGGCTAACAGTTATATACGAGTCTGTTGGTTTGCAATGACGCCATTATGTACTGACAAAAGCGATGAGAAATGGACAACGAAACGTTGTTATCCGTTGATTAACACCGCTGTTCTCAGCTGCTTGACAGCGATGCCATTTTCCGCTGGTCAGCAGCACATCCCTCAGCAGCAGGTGCAGCGGTAGCAGGTAGCACTGTACCCAGCTGTGCCGCGGCCGCCGACTGCCCGCCACGGTGCCGCCCGGCCGCCCGGTGGAGCACCGCGCCCGGCAGCCGAGCGTGGCGCGTTTTCGCACGCCGCGCGCACCGGCACGATCGCCGCCGCCCGGCGCGCCACGCGTCACGGGCCTGTCAGCCGCGGCCCGTGACGCCACCGCGGGACGGAAGCTAATCACGCCGGCGGAACGTGCGTGACGGGGGGGGGGGGGGGGGGGAGAGACAGCGACTCAAGTGACATGCAGGGCTTGTTTGGGGAGGCAAAAAGAGGTGAGGCAGTTATCAGATCAGGTCTGTCAATTCAAATGAATATCAACGCGAGCATTCGACATTGGGGTTGGTAATAAAAGGGCCCGAAATTTGCGGCACGCTTGCAGCACGAAACTTCGTATTCGCCAAAGGAGGAAACTTGAATTAATATGGTGGCAGAACCACCTGAGTTAGATCACCCGTCGAAATATGGGAGTAATTTTATGTGTAACCATAATACGTATAAATCTTGCACGAATACATCCCGCGGAATTGCAGGAGGATTTGGCTGGAAAAAGATTTGGCAATCAGTGCGTCACCAACTTTTGTTAAGCGTTTTAATGAAAAACACATTTCCTGAAAGCTCAGGTAAGTTTGCTGCAACATGTGCAGATCAGAACAGGAACTTCGGTATCACAATTGCTGAAAGCTGAACGGTTGATTTTACGCGCTGTGAATACCAATGATTCGTGCTCGTCATCCATGTCAACATTATTGCCATCTGCAAGAAAAGTCTTCCCTAGTTTAAAGTAAACAAACCTGCGAGTTGCACATGAAGTCATATAAGTATAGCACAGCAGATTCCACACCGGCGAATATCTAAGTAGTTTGGCTCATTCCAGGGCTGTATCCTCATTCAACTGGTGCCTTAAAACAGGCAGCGGAGTGTGTAACCCCTGTTTCAGTGCTCGGGCGGGCTCCGAGTGAGCGTCTCTCACTTCAGTGACCGTAGGTTGACGTCCTTGCGGCGACGCTTATTGATATGTGGCTTTTAGACCAAGGATTGCCGGAGCGGAACCCTTGAATGCGACCGGGCTCATTAGATGTGGATGAGGAGATGCCGGGTCGTTAGGCAGTACTATGAAAAACCGCGCCACTCGCCGATTTAGAGGACAGGCATAACGTGAAATCATTAATATAAATTCTCAGCAATTAGTTTTTTGCCATGACAAACGCTCCATGCTTTTTACTAGGACTTTGACGAACTGACTGAGCGAAACCGTCATGGGCGATAATAGGCCCTGGGCGCCCCCCAAAATGTGCTTGAAAGCCGTTGTCTTTTTGCTGAGGCAAAACAATCGATAGCGACATCACGAACCGGACAGAGTATAACAGCGATGGCATATGAACGTAGATGGGGAAAGCACGCCAAACACGGTTTTTGTGTGGTGTCAATCAATAAACTGACGTCGAAGGACACAGTCAGAGCGATATTGAAGCGCACTCAAATCGGACCCGCCAGCATCCGACTGGTGGATGTTCAGACCGACCGCTGGCACTGGAAGAATGGCGACGGACCTCCTGTTAAATGACCCGAGTTCGAATCTCGCTTGATGTATAATGCCCCCCCCCCCCCCCCCCCCATAACGGCGCCGCGACAGCCGTCGTGAGTTATCGCCGCGTTTTAGAGCAATAGCAGTTCAGTGCGTTGAAACCAAGTATGAAATCCGAGCAAAAACAGTGGGATGACCTCTAGCTGACCAGCATGTCGAGAGCACTTCTCCACCGCACAACCTCCGTTTGAACACTCAGCGACTTCCGATCATGTGACCCGTGGTCGGCTGACCCTGGCTCCGCGGGAAGCTCCCCGGCGGGAGCCCAGCTCGGCGTGATCCCTGTGCTCCCGAAGGAGGCCAGTCAGGAGCGGAGGCGGCGGGCGGCGAGGCAGGGGGTGCCGCTTCAGCAGCGGCGCACGCGGGCAGCCCCGGCGAGCGCGACTGCCGCCCAGCGACGCTGCCCGGCACACGCCGCACACACGGGGGTGCGTCCCCCCACGTCCCCAGCCGGTGACGGTGCGGCCGGGCATGACTGCGGGGAGTGGTAGGGCTTCCTGCTTGCGATGGTAGCCATGGGGAGGGGGGAGAGTGTCCAGTTTTATGCGAAAGTGGTGCAGTTGCTGGCACGCTGCTTTGAGATCAATTGCTCGCATTTTAAGTTAATAACATAGTCGTCCTCAAAGGCTCTAGGGCAGCTAATAAGCATCGATGCGCATCAAGATAACGTTCCGACTATATTTAGTTCAAAGCCCAACACACGAGTCATGCAATAGTCTTCAAAGTACTGGGACAAGGGCAAGGGTGTCGATGTCTCAGATACACCAGGTTCTTATGCGCAGTCTCAGGCTGCCACATCAAAAGTGTTTTTTTATATTGACAGACTCTTCAGGCTGACATGTCCATTCTTCGAAGCGGCTACATCCTTCTGTTGTCTTTAATCTAAGTAGGGCACAGGCGGACTGGGTGCTTTTTAGGTAAACAATGCAGGTCAGCGTCCAGAACAATGCATCGTTCGCTCACAGGGAACAATATCGCTATAAACTACTCATATGACCGTGTCACATCGTATCATGGGAGCTGTGCCAACGGGCAGTGACAGCAAGATTTCACCGCTTATGCTGCAAGGACTGCGGAGAACCTAGGCTGGAATGCTGGGGGGCCCCTCCGGAGCACAATCGCATAAGCGGGGCCCGGTGCCGGAGAACCTGCTTCAGATGGGATGGACGGGAGGGACGAACTGTGCCTCCAACCC